GAGCTGCCGGCAGTTCTGCCATTCAATGTCATAACCCCGGTAAAATGAAATGGGAACGATTCTTTCAAAAGTGTCTGCATTCTAAAAAACAATGAATCCATCAAAAATGATATTTATTACAGATCATCTTATTTAAGGATATTTTACTGGAAGAGGGCCTCACTTTTTCAGGTGCTAGGTGTTACATATGCAGCATCTCTGGAGTTACAGCTATTCCTGCAGCGAGCTTTTTTCTCACTTATAACTTTCACAGTTTGCTCTATGGAAGGTGTAAGATGGGTCAAAAAGGTTTGAATAAAAAAAAAAAAAATAAAGAAAGAAGCTACATTCTTTGAATACAGAAGTGTAACAAAAGACTGGATTGACCAGACTCTGGCTTTACTGAGCAACACCAGACAATAAGCACTTATTTGATGTTATTTCTGGACTTAAAATTCCATGTAAATTGCTTTTCCTTTTAACACTGAGAATTTGGAGATGAGAACAGATTTATGTTCTTATGTCATACTTGAAATTCATGCTGAACGAATAACCCATTTATAGTGCTAAACCCAGGGAAAATATTGTGGGAGAGAGTGGGGAAGAGACTTAAATTAATCCAAAGGGTTTATATTGTAACTTGAATAAAACGGCTTTTTTTTTTTTTTTTTTCTGAAAAGAAATCCTTAACTTAAAGCCTGAATGTTCCTTTTATGTGTAAATACATTCAGTGAAATTTTCAGAAGACTTTTAAAAGAGAAATAGATAAAAATTCATCTCTATATTAAAAAAAAAAAATTCAAATCAAGGAATTGAAATAGTTGTTAGAAGGCATAAAAAATATTTTGAGGTAGTGTCTTGGCTGAAAATTTTCATCTGATGTCTTGAAATGTCATTTTGGCATCAGAGAATGTGGCATATATAGGGAAAGTGTGATTTGCAGCAGGAGGTTGGAGATTGTAAGTGTGATGGTTTTCTCATTTTTGCTGAAAAAGTATCGAGTTTCAAATCTTATCAGCAAGCTCTAATTATGACAGTATTTTGAAAGTATAGATAGCTTATAGTAGATATTTTAACAGATTCTAAAACAGTGGAAATCACTTGAATAGTCTTCACTTAGGGTATAATTTAAAAAAAAAAAAGATACTGGATAGATAAAGTCATCAGCATTAACCACTTTCTGTGAGATATATACAGTTCCTATGTATAGCCCAATCTCTTTCTGCATTAATTTATCCCCTTGAAAAATTAGTATAATTTTTAACTTAGGTGTGTGGCAACATGGTATATGTATAACAGGTTTAAATGTTATGTTTTCGTAACTAAAACCATGCAAATTTTAATTGCTTTAAAAGCAGAAAAGTTAAAACCATTTTTATCAGTTCAGGACTTGGTCCTTGATGCAGGTTACCAGGATAGCTTTTAGATCAATATTACTGACATCCAAGAGCAACATTTGCTGCATACACAGTAGCTTCTCAACTTATTTTTAACCTCAAACCACCTCTCTCCTTAAATTTTCCTTAAACTTCTTTCCCTTTTCTGTCAACTTGGTAAATATGTAAAAAAAAAAAAAAAAAAAAAAACAAAAAAACCAACAAAACCAACAAATGAATAATTTTTATTGAGATTCAAAAAAACTGTGCTGAGGTCTGGGTGTGTGTGTATATATATACAATCCCTGTGAGCACTCGAGTGAGAACAAGAGATGTTTTATAACTTTGATTTAGAGGATTTGCACACGTCTTCTGCCAGGAGAGGCCCATGAATAAACCCACGCCATCTATTGTCACCTCTGCTTAGCAATAATAATGTTATACCTTCTTCATGCCAAATCCCTTGTGGGATATAATTACAAGTGTTTGTTTTGTTTTGTTTTGTTTTTTTTTCATTCATTCATCATTTCTTCTTGTATATCCCACATAAGCTGTTGCTGGTCTCTAAAAACAGCATTTAGAGGGTAGACAGCTGCTGCTAATAGGATCTCCTCCCTACCTGCCTACAGACATGTACATGTATGTTCAAAAAAAAAAAAACAAAAAAAAAAAACAAACCAAGCCAAAACCACAAAATCCAGTCAAACCTTTAAAAAGTTTTAAATCCCCCCCACCTTTCCTGTTCAAGCTAGGTATCATATTCCTATTATTTTTAATTACAAACAGCCCATGACTGCTGTGGATGGGAAACATTGATGAAATGAGATGTCATGCATGATGTTTTGCCCTTAGTTATTTTAAAAGCCTGTAAATAGTTGGCCTTGCATGTTCTATAACTGGTCTATATTTTACCAATAAAGGCTGTAAAAAAAGTAGATCCTGAACACCTACATCAAGCATATTTCTACATTTTTGAAGAACGTTTCCTATAGGAGTGCAAGGACGGGTCCTAATGTCAAAATAATAAGGTCACAAAACTCACAGCTGATTCTGGCTTAAAAATAACAGGGGGTCTGGTTCTGGATTTGAGGTGCTCCTTTTGTCTTCCTAAATGGAGGCGCGAAGATTGGTTCCTATCAGGCCTTTATTCAGACCTTCTCTGTTGATTGTACAGTCATTTACGCCTGTGGAAAATGAATCAAACAGTCCAGTCTTATGCTCTCTTTGTACAGAGCTAGATGATTATTCACACTGCCACAAGAGCAGAGAAAGATGCACTTTGCAAGGAGTTAATATAAACCACATCAGGCTAAAATCAGAGCCTGTCAGACTCTGATGAAGATGGTTTAACCAGTGGTGGATTGATCTTGTGTAGTCATATGAAAGATTGAAGGATTTCAGACATTACTTGCTGAGATAATTTCAGGTTATATGTCTCTCTATATTGTACTATTCTACTATATATGTTTGCTATTCACTGCTGGCAACAATAAAAGTGAAATTGCTTTTGTCAGTGATAGCTCTACAGTGTACCGAAAGCCAGAGTAAACCACATACTTGCTGGACTGGAGCTTCACTCCCGATCTTGCTGCTTTTCAACTCCATTTTTCGCTATTATTTTCATAAACTGACACCTAGCAGGTCAGCTGCAGCCACATCCATGGGCATGAGGTCATGAAGGGTATGGATTCACCTCCAGATTTTAGATATTTATTCAGCATCTTTAAAGGTAGATACCACTGTTGGGTATTTTGAGCAGCTCTTTGGGCTCCATCAGTGGTGTCAGGCAGAAGTCCTCATTTTCTGTGGGGGAGCTTAGATACCCATATATATGTAGTCACCGAAATGCACATGTCTGGACTTGGGGCTGACCATAGCACAAATTTATGAATTCTAAACATGTTTTGACGGAAGAGAGGGTGGATATTTGGTGGAGGAACCACGTAATGTGGTGTTTTGTCCAGAAACTGAGAGTTTCTACAAGCACTCAGGTGCCAAAATAGTTAATACCGGGGCTTTTTCTGAATTGCTATGTTTGATTTAAGTACCAGAACTCAACTGAAAAAGCCTTGTAGGTTTGTCTGTGTGGTTTTTTCCAATCATGCCCTTGGTACTTCTGTAGAGATGTTTACCTACTGCAGCCCTCATTAGAAGACAGTGCACTGAACGCTTCTAATTCATGAGTCAACATATAGCACAGACCGGAAGCCTAAATCTGCTCGCTCTGACCATGAAACAAACTAGTTGCGTTGTTGTAATATAAATGTACACAGAATTATACTTTAGCCTTGTGTTTGCACATTAGTTAGATCAGTGGCCTGTGACTAAGGACGCTAAACACAATCTCAGTGCAAATAATGGATCACAACTTCGCAGCCAAAAGAGCTGAGACTATGGCTTAATATTTTTTTTTTCAACACATCATTACTCTGGAAATGCCACTGGGAAATTCCTTAATTCCCTCTGGTTTTGGATTAATCACAATAAGTAAGAGGTAATAATATTTGTTATTAATAATAGCACTATTAATGGCTTTTAATAATAATTTAGGGTTAATGTAAGAAAATGCTAAACTAGTATTCAGTGAACATCATGCTTTTTACATAAAGCTGTTCTTTATAAGCTGTTTAGATAATACAGCACTGTTAATGATCTCACAGTAAATTAATTCTACTAATATAGTATACAGTATATGCATAGGGACTGACAAAAAAAGATTTGTGATAATAAAAAAAATAAATTGCTTTTTGGTTTCATACCAGTGGTGAAAACCTGCTTTGCAGGGCTGGTGCAGCCCATGAAATCAGACCTTGTATACATCACGTTTGTCCTCAGAGAAGATTAGGTGACAGTGGATGCTCCATAAGGTGCATATGGTAAATCAGGAGGCAGCTGATCACTCAAAATATTGTTAAAATTTATATATTTTTATTTACTAATGTTATTTATGTTGTCAGGCCAGCTTTCACGTGGATTTGGTGGGCAGCAAACAAACCCTTAAACTCTATAAGTAGGTACTGTTCTAAGATGAGTTTTACTGCTTCAGTTTGCAGTTCAGACGTCTCTGGGTTTTGCACGTAGACCGAACACTTTCCCATGTGGAGCGGTGTTAACATTAAGTTTCACTGCCTTTTGGCTTTACATTTTATCCCACTTTTTTGCAATCAGCTATTAAGCCATGTGCTGAAGCACTCTACTTAGTTTCTGCTCTTCCCAAACCTGTTGGTTGGGAGGCTTCAGGCTGTGAGTGGTCAGTTATTTATCAGGTTAAATACTACTGCTGCTTGGGGCACAAGTGACAAAACCAGTGAAATAGGAGTGAACAAAGGAACGTATCATACTGATCACTCGTACAAGAAATAATTTCCAGGTATCGCGAGGAAGTAGCCTCCTCAAGTTTTGCATGCTGGTATTCACTTTAGAGGATGGTTCAGGGTGGTATATTTTAAGGTGTGATTTTACCGTTAGTTTTTTTTTTTTTTTTCCTCTCTCTTTCATCCCCTGTCATTTTATTCACGCTTATTCCGTGCCACCTTGGCCCTTTGTTCCGTAACACCTCAGCTGTGGCCACCATGACACCTCCCACCCGCCCTGACACCCCTGAGCCACCGGCCTCTCTGACTGACTCCTCTCCTTCCCCTCCAGCTGTCCCAAGTTCCAGTGCCCTCCCCTCTGCCCCCCGAGATGTGGTCCCTGTTTTGGTCTCCAGCCGATTTGTCCGTCTCAGCTGGCGCCCACCCGCAGAAGCCAGAGGCAGCGTCCAGACGTACACGGTCTTCTTCTCCAGGGACGGCGTCAACAGGTAGGCACCGGCAGACCATGGGTCTCCTCGGGATGCGGGGATAGTCCTAAGAGCACCTGAGGCCTTTACAAGTATCTTGCCAACCGTTCTCAACCCTGTGTTCTTCTCCCTGCAGCAAAAGAAGTGTGAAGCTAGAAATGCCTTTTGTTGCTGTATATTTTTATAGACATGTTATCAACACTTATATAACAGTGCTCCTTGTCTTGGTACGGAGGACCATTTGCCTTGACAGTGATGTCTGTGGATCTTACTGCCTCCAGCTATTACTTGACTGTCAAACACATAGTATTGTTAGCTCCATATTTTACCTTTCATCTTCCTCTGAAGACACAGGCTCAGACGTTCTTTGCATTGCTGGCAGAATTGGATTTGTTGAGCCCTCATCAACCAGAGAGGAGGACTGATTTTAGTGCTGGTGTAAGACCTTGAAAACAGCCAGGGAGTGGGGGGTGAAGCTTTTACATGATTGCAGATACTGTGGACCAGCCTGGGCCATTCTAGCCATTCAGATTAGAGCTGCACAGCAGATAGCGCTTTTGTGATAATGGCACTATAGATTGTTTGATGTTTGTATGATTTCTCGTCGTGTGTGCTCATTTCACACCCGAGAAGGTGCTGCATATTTACTGGGGTTTTGTTTTATTTTCCTAACTTTGTAAATGGTTTTATGCCTGAGAAAAATCTTGTGTTTTTCTCTTCCTGTACATCATTATGAAGAACTCACTTGAAGTATTCCTGCCTGTATTTCACTGCACTTACGATACACTTCAGCTACTGACTGGTGACTAGTGTGGTGATGGCAGTTCAGCTGCTGAGGGGTCTCGAATAGGAATCTGTATTTAATTAAAAAATGAGTGGACGTGCATTGGATTCATGAGAGCTAAAGAAGTGGAACCCCACAGTTATCAAAGTGAGCTCCCCTCGGCCACAGCATGGCCTTATCCTTCATCCGAAAGGGCTCAGTCTTGCAGGCAAAATTACCTGCTTCTGCTCGGATATTCGCAAGCTTCTCATCTTAATCTCCAACAAGGTGCAACTTTATTTTACAGCCACATGGCCATTTCTTCACTGAAACCGTTGTCAAGAACTGGGACAGGCTTCCCAGGGAAGCGGTGGGGTCACCATCCCTGAAGGGATTTAAAAGACACGTAGACCTGGCATTTAGGGACACGGTTTAGTGATGGACTTGACAGAACTGGAATAATGGTTGGACTCAATGATCTTGAGGTCTTTTCCAACCTAAATGATTCTATGATTCCATATACATAAGGTTTTTTAATTTGTTTCAATGCTTGTAGACATTGGTAGTGACAGCAGCAGCGGGACCTGCTGCAAGAGGCAGACATTCCTAAATAGAGGAGACGTGTGTCCATCTGGTCTGGCCGAGCAGCCTGAAAGGACACAACACCCAAAGCACTTGGGACAAGAGTGTAAAACATGCTCTGCCTCTATAAAAGAAAGCTCTGAAGTTCAAATTGGCATTTCTGAGGCCGGCACTGGAGGCAAACGTCTTCTTTGTCAGGGTGTCATTTGTCCTAACATTTGTCTGCAGCCGTTGTCACCAGCACAACTGGAACAGGGCCCTGTGCTGAGCAAGGGGGTTCTCACATCCTTATGTTTATTAAGTACTTTGAGATTTGTTGATGGGCATGAAGTACCCATGACGTGTCAATTCTGGAGGACACTGTTGTAATCACATCTTTTTTTTTTTTAACTGTTTTAAAAACACACAATGGGATCGAGACATATTCTAACTCAGCCTTTTAGTTTAGCAGCGGGGAGAAAATACTAATATTCTTATATGAGGCTTCTAATTAGTGGTGTTTCTGAGATTAATAGATGTGTAAAAAGAGCTCACCCTAGATTCCCTTACACTTCAAAATAATTTTTTGTCTAGAATGTCTGTGGTGCTGAGTACCAGAAGGATCCCTTAGTCCTATTCCCAACTAGATGCACACCTTAAAGAGTCTTCTTCAGAAGACTGTGGGCTCTGTGTTAAAATAACTAAGCAAATAAATAGATAAAATCAAATAAAAGTTCCGCTATGCTCCCTCCAGTGAGAGACTCAAAATACTACATGCAGTTTAAAACTTTTGAATATGCACCTGTAGTCTTGCAAACTTTCAGACAAACTGTAAGATAAAATTAATGTCCTTTTCTTAAAAGGAAAAAGCTTCCATGAAGTTTTTGGGTTGTTTGTTGTTTACACATCATATTTACAACAGAGCTGTTTTTCTGTTTACAGAAGTAAATGTTGGATTTGACATTAACCTCAGGGATGCAAAGGAATTGTCACAGAAATTACTGTAAGTCTGGAGGAAGGACGTCTTCCCAGGTTCAAGAGCAGGGAGGATTTGCTTGACAGCTGTCAGCATCACAGAGGCCAACACGACACACAGGACATGCAGCCATGACAGGGACCGTCCAGAAAAATAGTCTCCCATGTTTTGAACTCTCTCATAAAGGTTTTTCAACAAAACCCTTTCAAATAAACCTCTTTTGAAAGTGATTGCACTTATTGCTGTAGCATAATCACCAGAGCCCTTCTGATGGGATGCTCTTTCATCTTCGTGCTCAGATAGGCATCCTGCGTGGGATCAGATGGGTTTGCTGGCTGATAAGGATGATTGGAAAGAGCACTTAAAGGTAAAAGGCGAGTTTCTCAGAAAAGGATAAAACAAACCTTAAATCTATTAGGAAATAAATAAACAGCCAACCAATACACCTGCACTCAGGGGAAGTTTCTGGTTGAGATAAAAGTTCAGACTTGAAAGTGAGATATTCTATAACATTTGCTGATAATAGCAGGCTGTTGATGAAAAAATGAGCAGAAATAGGGGCTTTCATGTATAGCATCTGTTAGTAGATACATACCTCTTAGTACACATTTGATAGTGCTTATTTTCTGTTAAAATATAGTGGAATATAATAATGCATGAATTTTGATAGATATCACTCTTCAAGGTATACACATGTACACAGCCACATAGACCATAAAAATCCATCCTGCCATACAGGAAGACTGTTCCAGAAGAGAAAGGGACTATTTTAGTTTTCACTTGATGCTATCAACTCAGTGAAAAAAAACCCTCTTTTATACCGAAGTAATAAGGTCACCCAAAAGATTAAAAATGCAGAGTTTACCTATGTAGTGGGTAAAGCTCTACCTTTTTGTTTTATTTCCCATTTTACTGCTGGGACACTGCTCACGTGGTGATCTCACGGGAACAAGGCCATACTTGGGTGCTACAAGGGTGAAGGTGCTGCATCATCTCTGGCATGTCTTACATCCACACGCTGTTGAAATTTTAATTCTAATTATTTTTATTTTTTTTGTTAGTTAGAGGTGGTCTTCAGGTGTGAAGGATTGGATCCATCTCCATCTTTAAATCCCTTCCAAACCAACAGCATTTGTGTCTGGATGTTGTCAATGGTTAACTACAAACTGATTTAGAGTAGCAGTTTTTTGTTCTAAGCATTTGCACAATGGGCCAGATTTGATATTTCAATCCCCAGTCAGGTTTAGATTTTGATGTTCTGATTTGCTCTTGGCCTCAGTGCTTGTTCCCTCTTCTCCTCTGTCTCTCCTGGTTGGCTTCTCAATGAGCGGGCATTGATTCAAACAAGCATTTGATATTTATACAGCAGCATATTAGTCACCACAGAGAAAGATACATTGTTTGTTTTTGCTGATTTGCTCTTGATCTATCTCTAAACCAAAAAATAACTCCTCAAATGTAATCTCAAGACATATTTAATTACTTGTGTGTAGTTTTAAACGAATTCTGTCCTCCCGGTGAGAATTTACATCACTATATTTAAAATTTAAAATCTAATTTACAAGAAAAAATTCACTACATTTATTTATAAATAATGAGAAATATTTACATGGTAATATATTTCTGTTTAGCATTTTAGATGAGACACAAAGCCCCAAAATAGCGTTCAGTTTTTGATTGCAACCTGTGAAATGTCAAGTTAGCTTAAGTAGTGGGTCCTGATTTGTAGCTATCCTTCTTTTTTAACTGACTGTTACCAAGCATTTTTCCCAATAAATGAAATTAAATACTCTGACCTTAAAAGCGGAAAAAAAGAAAAAAAAGAAAAAAAATGCTGAAGGGGAACCCCATTGATGAAGGACTCTTTTGCAAGATAGGGATGAGTGCTATTTTTGGTTGAACATTCACTAGAACTTGCTTTCAGTAACAAATTAATAAATGCATAGATAGTCACAACAAGCTAATAGATCTCCCAGTTTAGCTTCCTGCATGTTGCAGAGTGAAGAACTGAATCGAGGGACCACTTAATTGAATAAAAAAACCTTATCTTTGATTAAAACCTATCTTCAGAATTCAGCTGAAGTTCTAAAATATCATTCCCAGATGATCTGTTTACATTAGTTTTGAGGTTTGCTTACTATAATCGAGGACTGTATCATTCTCCCACAAAATAACATAATGGGAGATAAAAAAAAGAATTCAAGGTACTGAAAGTCCGTCCATTTTAAAATTAATAGTATTCATTTCACAGCAAGGAGCATTAACATGACTTGTCTTACGTGAAGTAACTAATTAGGTGTTTGAAACATTATAAAAGCATTTGTTACACACCTAAGAGATATATGGGAACTGTAATTATCTTTTTTTACATGCTGATACTGTAATGTAACATGATCTTCAGTCACTGGAAATTAACATGTCGAAGCCTCCATTTTACAAGAAAGTGGATGACTTTAGTCAAGGTCTTTTATTTTTAGACTGTAATTTATGGCCAGGATGGGTTTGGAAAACAAAACCCCAAATGTGAAGGTGCCTGATTCAAGGATGTTTGGTGCTTTTCAGCTTATTCCTGCTTTGCAGTAGCGTGTGTAGCACATTAACCCCTTTTCTGGTAAGCAGGAGCAGACAAAGGACTTTTGGATGTGGGTGACACTCATCTCACCTACCTTCAGCCTGAGTGCATGCCAGTGGGGCAGGGCACTGGAGCTCCAGGGAGAGGGACAGCCACACCTTTTACAGCGTCCAGCTGGTGTGGTTTAGATACCTGTTTTACAAAGACAAACGTAGGGTTGTTTTATTCATAAAGAGTTTTTTCTCTTTTCTAGCTGGGGGGTTTAAGGCCTCACAGAAGTTGTCACTGCCTGGTGGGACATAGGCAGGTGGCCCATTTAAACAAAAGGGATAATTTTTTTCTCATGGCTCATAATTATATTGCCACAGAAACCAAAAACAGTGGAGTCAGAGATTTGACGGTTTGAGGGAGATGGACCCATTCGGGTGTCTGTGATCACCTGGGTGCCGAAATTCCAGAAACCTGTAAGCAGGAGCTCTATGCCAGGAGAATACCCAGATATTTCTATCTTAGTTCACTTATTCCTCTACATGTTGCTTATCTGGCTTCTGTCAGACTGTGAGATGGGGCTGGGGAGTGCTGCTGGCTGTTCTGGCATCTCAGCCTGCCCAGAGGGAAACCTCAGCCCTTTCTTTTGGTTTATTCCTCTTGGTCTCAGTCCTGGGGTGTTTCTTTGATTATTATTCAGTCTTTATTAAGAAAAAACTGATTTTTTATACAGTCCATTTCTTACTTCTTTAAAGTTACAAGATCTTGCGCTACACTATGGGCTTCTGTTGTTGCACTTGAAAAATACTCTGGATCTGATAGCTATAAAACTAAAGCTACAGGAAGTAAAACATAGAAGTTTAACCTGATCGGTGCTTTCCTGAGGTGCATGGAGGGAACATGATCATTGGCCAAGAACAAGGAAATTTCCCTCTGGGACTTTTCAGCATGGGCTGGGAATAGCCAGAGCTTCTGCTGTTCAACACTGCTCCCAAACTAGAAGCCGTCAAATTACTAGAGCGCAGGGCTGGACTTGAGCTAATTAGCCTTGGGAATGATGCGTGAATATTGCGACATGGAGTGTGGTGCAGACACCTCCAGCCACTGCCAACCTGGGTGCTCTTTCCAGTGTGAGCAGAAGAGTTTTGGCTGGACTTGGATTTATTGAGGAATGGACTGGCCCACTGTGGCAGCTGATGAGCTCTTTGGGTTCATCAGCTCGAGAGCAATGATGGGTGGTTTCACAGCTCCTGGTTTGCACAGAGACATGTTTAGTATCACCACTGAAATCCAATGGAAGGTGGACACAGAAGCTGCTGAGATTTCATTTGAAGACTATTGCTTTAAAATCTAATCAAAGCACTTGCTTGAATGTTTCCAAGTGGCTGAGACTGGGATGTGATTTTTTTTTTTTTTTTTTTTTCTTACTAAATACTGTGGAAAGACTTACTGAAAGAACACTACAAACCATTCCACCATTCCACAGATAATGTTTCTGCTGGAATGGAGACATTAAACCCCTGTTGTCACTGCTAAGGGACAATCCAACTGTTTTCCCCAGGGAACATTCACCCACGCTTTAGTCAGTAAACTCTCAGAGGGCCAGGGCGATGGTGGAGCCTGGCACTCGGAGGACAGGACTGTTCTTTGGTCTGAGAAATTTCATTTTGAGGAAACGTTCCCCAAAGGAACAGTAATCTCTGTTCTCTCAATTGCTGCTATGCCTATTGCAGCCTAGAGAGCCACAGCAGTGCTACATGAAGTTTGACAATTAGTTGATCTGGTCTTAAACGATTTTTTTTTTCCTGCAGCACGAAATCTACCTTTTTTGTTGCTGTTGGCTTTTCAGAGGGCTTCTAGCAAAGGAGAGGAGCGAGGCGCACCACCCACAATAAATCGTCTACAAAAGCAATTTTACCTACTTCTCTTTGCCGATTGTCCATGAAAAGACTGTGATTCATCCAGTTTCAAACCCCGCTTTACTGCCTAGGGATTGTGTTTTTCCTGGCTAATCCCATGTTAAGGGTGTGCACCTTTCCCACCAAGGGTTTCTCTCGCCGAGCAGCACAAAGCCACGGCTCGGCAGAGCTTTTCTTGACCCAGGGTGGGGATGCCAGTGCTGGGGTGCAGGTCCTGCCTTGGTCACTGCTCGGGAGGAGAAATACCTGCTGCCCCCACGCACCAGTTTCCCAGCAGCCCATGGCCAAGCTTGCATAAGTGGGGTGGTGTCCGACCGCCGCTCTGCATCAAGAGAAAGCTGCCCCTGAGCTGCCTGGGTGCTCATTTTGCCAAGAAAGGGGAGCATAGCGTCAACTCCACAAATGGGTTTTTCATTTTAGACCTCTGAAATGGTGAGCGGTGTCCCCATCTTAGGAAAAACTCCTGCATGGTCCCTTTGTCTGTGGGACAGTGGGGGGTGGTGGTGGTTTTGCAGGAGGAGTGACAAGGGCTCAATTTGCAGAGCAATCCAAAGCCAATTTTCATTTGCTGGATGTTTACAGTCCAATATGCATCTCCCTTCTTATAGCAGAGATGTGTTCCTTCATTGAACAGCCATTTCTTTCCATCAATTTTCCTTTTTCATTATGTTAAGAATGACAAAGAACCAATATACTATATACCTTATGAAATGTTAAAATGCAAGTCTTTTTTTGGTAACACTTGCAGCATTCCCAGTGGGCCCCATTACTTGAATTAATCTCTTTAAAGTAAAAATAAAAAAAAAAAAACCTATAGACAAACAAGCCTCAAACTGAGGTTTGATAAGTAATCATACCTTGCAGGCTACCAACTGCATAAATAAGTAATGCTTAAGATCCCAATGCATTTTAGAGTGGTTTTTTGAGTTTTGTTTTGTTTTTGTTTTTTGTTTTTTAGGGAACGGGCAGTCAACACATCTCAATCTGGGACACTTCAACTCACCGTGGGCAACCTGAAACCGGAGGAGACTTACACCTTCCGAGTGGTGGCATACAATGAGTGGGGACCAGGAGAGAGCTCGCAGCCCGTCAAGGTCGCGACGCAGCCGGAGCGTGAGTGTCCGTCGCTGTCGCGATAAACCACAGTGCTGCGGTTCTCATGGTGCATTGCTTTGAGGCTTTCATGTAGCTCCTCTTACAAATTATGGCCCAGTCCTTACACACGGTAAAAAAAACCCTTCCCTTAATTTGTAATAGTCCTTGTGGAGCGTTTTGCTGCCCAACAGCATTATATTGCTAGTTTGTGTCATGGCTGATCACACATTCTGTCTTCTATTGTATGACAGTGTAAGTAAGGTGTTTTTACACAGAAACATGAGAAACTTTCTGAAAGACACAAAAACTTTCCACTGGAGTAACCGTTTTGGCTCGTTCGTGTTTAAAAGCAAAACTTTTCTGTTCGTTAATGTTTAGCAGTGTGTTTTATAAATCTTTGGAGCAAGTGGAAACTATCAGGAGAGACTCTTCTCTCTCTGTATATCTCACTTTATTGTAAGTATTTGCACACGTCCGGTCTCCAAAAAGAAGATAAATTTACTCTGGTTGAGTTTGTCTTATTTCAGTTTTTTTCACTTGGAAGGTCCAAGAAAGGTTGTTGCAGAGTGAGGATTGAAACATTATTTGAGCTCTTCCATGGCAAAATTAATTATTCAGAAGAATTGGTCATAAAATGGGATTGGTAGCTAGTTCTTAGCAGAGAGATGGGTGCTGTGTCTGATACTGTTGGGCACTGGACTGTTTTGGTGAATCACAGGCATGATGGGATGATGAACTGCTTTTATGCTCCATCAGTAAGCCCCTGCCAGAATACGGTCTCCCTCTGTAATGAGGTGGGAAATCTAACACTTAACAGAAGCCCAGAAACAGTTTTACATTGTCACACGTTGCCATGTACAGAAATTTAACTGAAAGGCAATATTTGTCTGAAAACCTCTCGTTGTGTGAAGATAACAGCTGTGCTGGTAAAGCCTGAAATGTGTTTTTGTGATTCGTTGCCGCAGGTGACTTGTTGCTGGGGGCAGGTAGAGGAGGTGGGAATGGCTCTCCATGGGGAGGTGGGGGAGAAGAAGAGCTTGGAAATAAATCCTGCGATAAGGCGAGCCTCCGAATGTGTCTTTGGGCGGATTTTGAACTGTTCAGTTCCTTTTACAGCCTAGCTGAGCCCCAGGAAAGGTGCCTATTAGGGCCGGTGAGAGCGTGTGTGACATCCCCTGACCAGGCAAGGGATGCTGTGAACAAGGGGAAAAGGGTCCTCTCAGCTTAAATTATTCTGTCATTTTGTGTTTATAGCTTTGTTTATCATGAAACATGAATTTTACTCACTGTCGTCACTTCCCAAGCCGCCAAGAGCAGTAATGTTAGTGATGTATCACACAAGATATGTTGCTTTCTCTTTTTCTGGATGGCCTTACATTCTAGGTATATCTTCAATTCCTGCCCTGAGGTTGCTCCGCCACTTCTTGCATTTATTTGCCGTTATGCAACTGCCATGTGCAAGCATAAGCAAGGTTATATCCCAGCCCTTTTTGGGGAAAAAATTCTTGAAAGTCAGTTTATGAATACCTTTTGAAAGTAGGGTATTAAGTAACTAGCCATCGGCATCGTTTATCTATTAGTAATTTATTTCTGCTTAGACAGACACGCACGAATGCGCATATACACATTTCTGTATATGTTTGTATTTTATATATATTATATATATATATATATATATATATATACAGAAGCAAAATAACATTTCAATCAGGAAAATACCTTCCTCCAAGGAAAACCCTAATGAAAAACAGGCACCGCTTCCCCCTGCTGTTACCATTTGAGGCTGCCATGGTGCGGAGTTACTGGCTCTGTTAAATGCTCAGTGTAGACATTTGGAATATCTTTCCTATTTAATAACTTAAAGATTTCTCTAAAGTGTCAAGTTTGAGCATGGAGAAAATATTGCTCACCATTTTTCTTTTTAATATTGACCAAATTATCTTCCCATTTTGAAACAAGTCTCTCTGGTCCTGGGAGGCACTCAGCCTCTATGTGGCTGTCTTTTAGAACATGCTGTAACTGTTGTACAATAAATTACATGGCTGCACATAAATTGAATTTCCACATTATTTGAAAATATCAGAAGTATTATACAATCTGGCATTGTTAAAGAAGAAAAAGCTGATGAAAAAGGACAGCTGAAATTCGTGTCTGTCAGTGCCTGTTTCTAAAAGTGCATTCATTTGCTCAGTAATCAGTTTAAAAGATCAACAGAACAAGTTCCAGCTTTTTGAAATAATCATCCAGAATATATGGACTGGATTTATATGAAGGTTTTTGTCCCCAGATTAACATCCCCCTCCCCCTTTTATTTTTTTTTTTTAGTAAACTACAACCCCTTTTTCTCTGCCTTTATGGTATATAATTTCACTACGGTATTATCAGTCCAGATTTAAATCCCTGCCTGCTTAAGCCATGTCTAATCTTTTCATACCACATGTGGAGACTTTGTGAGTTATTATTTTGCCTCCTCAAGACGCTGTTAAAGCAGCTTGGTAGTAGAGAATAAAGAAATGCATCTATTCTCGCAAGGAGGATTGAAATTGTCTGTCCAAGCTTTGAAAGCAGTTCCCTGCTGTGGGACCAGCTCACTTCTTTTCACAGTCCTTATGAATTAAAACCAGTTTCCTAATAAATCTGTGTCTCCCTGATGTGTGTATTAGTTGGTGAAAGAGAAGATGAATAGGAAGGCATGTTGGTGTGCCCCAAAGAAACTTGACGGCATCACTCCAGGCTTATAAAGTTGCCTCTTATCATGTCCCTTCCAGTGAAATCAATTTAGTGTGCGCTGACATCTCAACTTCTACCCAAGCATCTTTAAAGGCTTTATAAGGAATAATTAATTACTGTATCCTTTGGAGGTAGGGAAGTATTATTATTCCCACTTAAGGGAAGCCCAGCTGTGTCCCCATATGTCTCCCCCCTCCTGTGCTATGCTGCGAGGAGCAAATCTCTGGCCCCCCGAGGTGGGGAGCAGCTGGAAGAGCTGGGCTCCCCACCCCAATGTCCTGAAAATGGAAATTCTGAATCAGAAATACAGAGAATTGGATTTCTGTAGTGAGTGGGGTGTTTTGCAGCAGCTAGAGGGTGATCTTACCTGAATGGGAGACCAGAATGACTTTGGTCCCCAAGATCCACACCTGCCATCATTGATACTTTTGCAATTTCTTTTCATTCCTATCAGAGGCTGGTGCATCTAACCTCAGAAATTAGTCCTTTTGTCTTCTTTCTTTTTATCACTGACTGGATGTGCCCAAAATTTCTTGCTAAGACGACGACAACTAGCAGCAAAAACTACCAGCAACACTGCATTAAAGCAATTGCACCAGAAGATATTAAAGTTTTGGGGTTTGGTGGTGGGTTTTTTTTGCTACAAGTTTTTCAGTGGAGACCATTTTCTTTGAAGTTATTGCACAGGAAATGTTAAAAATACATGGATAAAATTTCAGCTGCAGTCTCTTTAAACATACATTTCTTATACAAATGTCAAAACTGCATAGAAAATTAAAAGGCTATTAAAATTAATGCAATGAAATTTCACATGAAAAAGCAAGAGGAGGCAGGGATGACTTTAAAGCCCACGGAGATGACAATTCTGTCAAGTAATAATCAGTTCCATATATGTTGATCTGCGCAAATTACGTTTGCAGAATAAATGTGCTGGGGTGATTGAATTTTCTGAAGACTTCCATCAGGTCCATCCATTTTAGACAGCAATGCAGAGATGGTGCCAGCTCGTCACCTCTCAGGGCTGGCGAGGGTCCCCGAGCGGGGCCGGACCCCACCGCTGCCGGGTGTTTCAGAGGGCACTAGTGCCGCCTTTGCTCCCTACTCAGCTATTTTGGGTACCGGTTTTGGTCACAATGGTGATAACGTTGTCACTATACACGATGCTAAATGATCTCATGATAGGGTCTTGTTGAAGTGAGAGCCCTGCGCTGAGTTCGGGCAGGCACTGCAGGTTACCTATTAACCCCCCCACACCAAGCAGCTCTTGATCAAGTGTTTGGGAAGAGGGAGGTGAGAGAAGCCCCTTTCTCCAGTGCAAGACGGCCACCAATCTGGGTGGAGAAAAAAACTGAGCTTGTGTTTAAGTTGGGAGAGCTGGAGCCAAGGCTCTGTGTCTTTGGGCAGATCACTGAAGCCTCATGGTTTCCCAGAATATAAATAATGTCAGTAAAAAGTTGGACCAGACAATCTCCCGAGGTCCCTTCCAACCTGAGCTATTTGCCGAGTCTATGACTTCTCCTCTCTCCTTGCTGATGCCCAGGTACAGCTCTGCTCATGCTGCTTAAACAATAGCCTTCGTGGCAGGTACGTCCCTTTCCATCATGTACTGATGTAACAAAAATTAATATTTTTTAACCATTTCTAACTGCAGCTAGTCCCATCTAATGAGGGAGCCATGGGCTCTGCCAGGAGCTTTCTTTTCTGAAGCCAGTCCTGCATCGGCTGTCACAGTGATGGACTGAGGACATGGAGCTCCTGCTCTCCATCCATCAGTTTACAACAACATTACATATATTATTTTAAAGTTAAAATAAAAAAAAAAAAAAAAGTCTCAGTCTGGGTCTGCCTTCTCACCCTGCTAAATTTTGTGTATACAAAATATCCCTGGAATAATGAATGGCTGCTTTGGTTTTGGGCAGTGTCTGTTTTGTAAAGTGCAGGGGTATTTATATATTTATCATATATTTAGCAAAATATGAAGGAGCTGGGACAGGCGAAAATGTAGGCAACTCCGGTACAGTGCCTTGGTAGTGAATTTTTCTTGTCATTTGATGAAAGGGTGAAGCAGTACTGAAAAATGTGTTCTGTGGAGTCATTAATATCCTCCTCATTTGTGTGTATTCTTCCATAATGGCTCTGTAAAACACACCCTGGGGTAACTTTATGCCATTCTTGCATGGTTCTTTAATTTTATGAGTAATTTATGTGGAGCATTGGCAGGGGGGTTGGGAGGGGGACGTTTTCAATTGCTTTAAATTTTAATGAAACGTATCTTCCTTTCTAAAAGT